TATTCCTGTTCCAAGGGTTTTTAGTATCACTGAGAGATGGCCAACCTGAGAGCAGGAGGAAGAGCAGCTCTTATCCATGAAACTGGAACTCACACAAGTATAAAAAAATCCTCCTGGTTCTGTGCCTCCCTTAAGGATGACATTCCATTCCTTAGTGTCCTTAAGGCACGAGGAAAGAGAAGGCTTTGGCTGCAAAGCCCAGTGCAAAGCTCACTAAATAAATCAAAATCTTTGCACTGACCTAAGCTGACTCTCTGCTAAAACCACAACACTGAACTGAATTCAGATACATGGAAATGAGGTGCCAATTGGTTTTTTTGCTGGAAATCATCCAGGGCTCACCTGTGGGGTCTTCAAGCATTTGAGCCTCCTCTCAAGGTGCCCTCTCACCTCTGAGGTGCCTCATCAGCAGAAAAGGGATCACATTTGTTCTTCACAGCCTCTTTCCTCAGAAATCTCCTGTGCTGAGCAGATAAGGCTCTTGGGGGGAGGCAGCAGGGGTGTGGAAATGCTGCTCCCATCAGCCCCCAGCCCACCTCCCCGGCCTCATCAGCCCCAGCTTTAGCAGGGAAACCCCAGGAAACAGGGCAGGGCTCAGCCTGTCACTGGTGCACCCTGGGGTCACCCAGCCCAGGGGCTCAGCCCAGCAGGAAACTGGACACATTTATTGGAGAGATGTTGGATTCCAGGGACAGGGACACGACCGAGGCTGTGCCAGTTAAACTCAAGGGCAGAGAATCACCTGGCCCAAGGACAAACCCACTGTTTCCTCGGATCCCTTTGCTTGGCAAACCCTGTCATCTCCTGCCTCACACACAGTGAGTTCCCAGAGCCCACAGAACCAAGCACAGCTCCTTGCAGAAAATCACAGGATCCTAGAAATTATAAAAAGACTCGGGTTGGAAGGGAGAGAATGGCTTGGGTTGGAAGGGACCTTCAAGATCGTCTTGTTCCAACCCCCTGCCATGGGCAGGGATGCCAATAATATGGAGATAAATTTCAACCTTCCTCTAGGAATGCTGAAATAATGAGTCAGCTGGGTTAGATGGCTCCTGTGAACGCTGTGTCCTCACCAGTGCTCTGCCAGTTCTTCTGTCATTCACAAATTTGAGCTGCAGTGATTTCATATTTACTCCTCGATCATTAATGTAAATATTGATAGGAGGGAGTCTAATAGCAGAAGCCCACCAGAAATACATTTGATGTTTATTCCACACTGACAGCTGCTTTTTGAGATCTGTCATTTAGTTTTATTCAATTATTAATGCATGTTATTGATAATTGTATAGTGCTAATTTTTTAAATCAGAATATCCTTCAGCACTGAGTCGAACGTGGCACAAAAATGTATTTTATTTGCACGGCTACTCTAATAGACCTTGCAACTAAATCTGTGATCTCATCAAAGAATGAATTCAGGTTTGTGTAGAATGACCAATTTCCTGTGAAAAGCTAAACCTTATTTTATTCTCTTTTAATTTTTCATTGATTGAATCCAAATAGCACCATAATTTATTGTTTTGCCTACTGAAGTAAACAATCTTGTCCAAAATCTGCACAGGATTGTGAAAACATTTTTCATTTTTCTTAAAGACATTTTCTAGGACTTTTCTTAAAGACATTTTTGAGAATTTGCAACAGAGGCATCCAGAAGAGTGACTGGCACAGCAAGAAAGCCCAGGAGGAAGAAGGAATATCTGAGTCATCCTCACAGCTCCCTTTTCCAGGTCTCAAGCACAAATCAAAGAGCAACAGGGAATTGTTCTCAGGCTGCTCCAGCACAGGCAGAGATTGATTTCAAGGTGCAGAATGTCACAGAGGCCTCGTGCTCTGCACCAGGGCTGGGCTGGAGGGACAGGGACTCCTCCTGCTCCCAGGGCAGGGAATTAATAGTGTCGGATACTGGCAGGAACATGAGCAGCAAAGCAGCTTTTGCTTTTCCCTCCAGCTCCCTCTCACTCTTCCCCTGCTCTCACAAAGGAATATGATTAAGATGTGAGTTGTTTAGATCCATTTTTAATATCTCCTGATCAAAAGGGGAAGCTTAAAGAGCATGTAAGGAATGACTGATATTAAAGAGAGAGAAAGAAGAACAAATAGTTTAATTTGCTTCTTGTCTTTCTTGGCTTGGGATTTTGAAGCAGATGTTCATATGCAAACACAAAAAAAGCCCACATTCTCTCCAAGTCTGAGCAAAAAATGGCCTGGCTCAGAGGGAAGATGCCTGGTGAGGGCTCAGCCAGTGTGGTGCCTGCTTGGGGTGGAGCAAGGATGGCACAGGCAAAGACCTCTGTGACTGGGCTGGACATGGGACAAAAAATGAGACAAGAAATCCTTAAAAAGGAACAAATACTTGCAGCAATCCCCCCCATAAAACATGTGTAAGGGTGCTGCTGCAAGTGTACCCGTGGATCTGAAAACTGAGATGGAGTGTTACAGTGAGAGTTTAATGACGATCTCAAGAGACAAAGGAGGAAGGGATGGGAAAAGAAAGGAGCTGATTTCTGCATCTTAAACTGATGAGAGCACAGGGTGGCACATGTGAAGCCTCTGATTAATCAGAAATAGGGGAAACAGACTCTTCATATCGTCCAAATTCTAAAGGGCTGCAATGTCAGATTTTCAAGAGGGCTTTGATTCTTTTTGGTCTGCGCATGTAATGAGGAGTGAGAGCGAAACTGTGCAAAGCCAGACCCTGGAGAGGAACCCAATCAGCAAGGAATCAAACAGGAGGGGCTGGGATGTTTCACACATCACTTTAACCCAGAACCTGGGAGAAATGGTCCACTGCAGCAACTACCACCAACCTTCCAACCTCCCCCCTGAAGAGGCACAGCAGCAGAACCTCCCTGTTCTCCCAGGTGATTCCCAAGCAGGGAAGAGGGAACCAACCACCTTGCCAGCAGGAGAACAGGAATGGACACAGGCACTAGCACAGAGCTTTCAAAAAGTCATCCTGCCCCTTTCCCTTCAACCATGGAATCATCACAGCTGGACATTATCACCCATCCTGGTATGTCCTACGCGCTTATGATTTTTTAAATTTTTATACATTTAAGCTCCGCTCCTTTTACAAGAACCTCAGGAATACTCTCAACTGTTCATGATGAAGATGGAAGAGGAAGGGGAAGCAGACCATGAGTACTGATAAGTAGAAAGACCTAAGGTTTGGATATAAATTTGGGATGTTTGATCCCACAGCAAGTCCTTGAGCTCCAACTGTGTAATGTGAGCAAGGCTGTGGATCCAGATCATACACACGAGTTACACACGGACATACACACATCCCAGTGGATTTATGGAGACACTGCCACTTGTCTCTCTGGCTGTAGTTCTGTGGAAGCCAAAATGTACCACAGGGACATCTGTACCTCACAGGGTCCAAGCACAACTCATGTGTCCGTGTCCTTCGACCTTGGAGAGGTTTGGTCACAGCAGCTGCAATCACCATCAGATCGTGTTCCAGGCCAAACACCTCTTCCATTCCTGCTTCTAAATATGTTCAGGTTTCATATGGGAGATTAAAACATCTCAAAACATCTCTCTGTGCTCAGATTTTGTATCAGTAGCACAGTATTTACCTTGCATTAACCGAGCATGAGCTGAGTGCAAAATCTGGCCCTTTGTACAATGGGATACCTTTGGCACTGGGCCCAGACAAGAACAAAAAAACAATTGCCTGAATTTAATCAGCTGGTGTTAGCTGGCAGTGCAAGAAGTCTTTATGCAGGTATTTATTTGTCCCGGTAATAACAAGAATATTGGAATTTATATCCAGGAGATAAGGGAGTACCTTGTCACTCAAGCACAGCTAACAAGGGAATTGCTATTTGGTGCAGACATGTAAATGCCAAATGCTTAGTCTGGTTATTATTGTAAATTCCATTTTTTACAACCCCTTGTTTTTAAAATGGTCTCTTAATTGATTTTTAATTATATTTTTCAATGACATTTAACTCCACGTGCTTTGTAAACAAACCCACACAGATGCCAAAATATATTAAAGGAGCAAACACCGGTGCATTGGAGGTGCTGTTTTCCCAGCCTGCACTACGTGCTCCCAGCAGATGCTTTGCATGAGGAACTGAGATCAAATTTGTTCTGGGTGTAAGTGGGTGCAGTTCTACCACAGGCAGCTGCTGCCAGAAGGTTGGTCCTCAGAGTGTTCCTGATACTCATCACCAGGAACACTGCTCCTCCTGACTGGCATCAGAGTGGAATGGGATGATACATAAAATGGGTGGTAACTTCCAATTCTGGGCCCTGGGTGATTATCCAAGTTGAAATTTGGCCAGGACATACTAACCTAGAGTGGTTTAGTGTAAAGTGCCACGAGGTCTTTAGTGGAATGGGATGATACATAAAATGAGTGATAATTTCCAATTCTGGGCCCTGAGTGATTACCCAAGTTGAAATCTGGCCAGGACATACTAACCTAGAGTGGTTTAGTGTAAAGTGCCACGAGGTCTTTAGTGGAATGGAATGGGATGATACATAAAATGAGTGATAATTTCCAATTCTGGACCCTGAGTGATTAGCCAAGTTGAAATCTGGCCAGGACATAGTGACCCAGAGCTGGTTTAATAAGAAGTTGCACAATGTCTTTAGTGATCAGAAGAGGTCAGGACATCTCTTTAACCCCAGGAACACCATGTTAGAGAGAAGCAGAAGGCATCTCATGTCTCCAGTGGGTTTTTTGGAGGTGTCCAATAGCCCAGGTGAGCACTGGACAGTGTTTAAGGACATGGAATTACAAATTGCATCCATCCAGCTGCCTAAAGCACAGGTTTGGGACAAGTTTAAAAAGTTAATCCAACTAACTGAAACACTGTATGAAACTACTCAAGTCCCTTGAGTTTCTGGCTCAGCACCCCCCAGGTCTGGGGTCCAGAGCATGATGTGCCATTCCAGAGAGAAACCACGCACCAGGAGAGGCTGGAAGCAGCTCCCTCAGATCCCACCACCCTACATTAGCCATGGGATTTGTTGGAAACCACTCACTGTTGTAGTTGCTGTTCCCACCAGTCTCTGCTGGAGCGGTGCTGGGCTCCCCCAGCCCATCAGAGGTGGCCAGATCTTATGGAAAATCAAAATGAGAACTTGAAAATACCACTCCTCGTGCATTCCTGAAAACACTGCACCGCCCTGTTAGTCAGCAGGTGAAGACTTGCACCTTTTTCCACTCAAAACTTGTGCTTGCTGACAATTCCCACATACCTTTCACGTGGCCAGGATGTCACACTGTTCTGAGCAGGACTGTAATTTCATTAGTGGTTACAGAAGTGGAAAACACTGGAAAACCACAATTTAGCGTTTACCCAATTCCCAAGCTCAACAATTACGGCAGAGGCATAGTGCTTTTGTTGGGGAAGGACCTGATTCCCTTATGTTGTGGAAGACATAAAAACCACAGGACAGGGGAATGACTGTATTGATCTTGGATAAGATTCACTCCTGTGCAGAGATCCAGCACAAGCCAGTATATCCCATAAATTCTGTTTAAGTCTCATCCTGCAGGATAAAGCAGCACTCAAATCACACATTACTGGGACAATAATGCTTTGTTCCTAAATATTGCTACTCCAGAGGAGGCTACAAAATGCTTCCAGAGACTGTCAAAAAGGAGCTGTGACTTCCCAAAGGTCACCCAGCAGGGAAGCAGGGCTGGGATACACCTGGATGCCAGGGCAGAGATCCACCTCCTGCTCACTGCCCTCCTCCCTGGTACAAACACTCAGACACAGCTTCTGCCCCCCAAAATGTCTCACCTAAAACGTGTAAAGTCTGTCTGCACAATGGGAGCTGAGTGTTCATCACAAACTACACTCATTAGTTCATGCCATTTGCTTTAATTTCAATTATTTAATTAGGTGGTGTGTGTGTTCCGCATTGATGACTAATGCTCTTTTAATTTTTCTCCAGTGGATACATATTTTACCTCTCTTTTTTTCTTGCAGCAGCAGCTTTTGCTCACCAATGGGATTTGCCCACCTATACTTCCTCCTATGGGATCTGAGGAAAAGGAATGTAACTGGCATCCCTTTCCACACTTAATGAAACCAGGGTTCAGGTTCCTGCCGGAATGTGAAGTCTGGTAAAACATCTTTGCTGACAGTTTTAAAACTTCCAGAACATGGAAATTAAGCAAAAGGAATTGGAAATCTCAGGGACAGATTCCAACAGACAGCAATGCACACTCAGTTCATTAACTGGCTCTGAAGAAATGCAAGTTCTACATTTCATGTGTGTCACAAACCCTTAAGAACAATAAAAGTGTTTGTTAATGGACTTTTTAGAGGGAAAAAAAAGCTAAACCAAGTGGCAAAGCACTTGGCACTTCTGTGTCTCAGCAAAACTGGCTGCAAAACAGAGTAAACTGTGGATATATTTAGGGAATTATAAGTAAAGTTTCAGATCAATGCATTCCTGAACTTGTGCTGATGCTCAAAACAGTAACTGGAAAACAATCCTGGTAAGGTTTTGTGCAGCAAGGATAAAAATCCTTCCTTCAGCACAAGCCAGTCCTCTTGTCTCCTGGGGAAGGGAACCAATGGTTCCACTGGGGATCCAACAGCTCTTTGTTGTGTCTTTTAAAGCAAACAGAGATGCACCTGTACCTATGAATAGTTACTTTTTCATTTGGCCATAAAGTGCCCAAGTGGTCACTTAAGTCTATAATTCCTCCCCTAATTGCACAACCATGAATATTCACAGGCAAATTGTAATTACAAGGGTAGGTTCCTTCTGCATGGACAGTCTCTGTTTTACTGCTCTTAACTGCCAGAACATAAATGGTTTCAAATGATAAGGATCCCACCGGTTCCCATTTTATGTGGCCACGAGACAAACTTAACAGCAAATCTCGGGAAGGATTTGGGAATTCCGGTTGGCCCAGCACAGGGAAGGGTGAGAAACCCCCTCCTCCTCACACACATGAAGGGAGAGAAACGCAGGGTAGACTGAACAGAATCAATTTGTCACTTGAGCAGAGATGTTTATTGATCAGGCAGCCCCCAAACCACGCCGGGGAGGGGCAGAGCCTGGACAGGCAAAAGACACACATTAAATACAACAGGGCAGCTCCAAAAACCGCCTGGATGGCAGAAAAAAATGAGAAATAAATTCAATTTATAGAGCTGGCGTGTGTATGGGAAGCATGAAGCCACTCCTGCCAGCAGGAAAGTGTTGAGATTTTGCTATTACACGGCTTTGCCTGTCATGTTTGATCACTATTTTAGATGCAGAGGGGACACTGTGCCTGTTAATGTCACTGGCCTCAATCATGCAACCCTTAATCAAGTAGAAATCCCTGCAGCTTTGCCCATAAAAGAATTACAGACTTAGTTATAGGTTTTCTGGTGCAGATTTGACCCCTGCTGCCTCCCTGCTGCAATAAAACTCCTAAACCCTTTTGGATCATTACTCCTACAACTTGCCAGAGGGCAGAGGAGGTGCAGCATTTATGGGGCTGCTTCTGGTTTTAACCAAGAGCTGAGGATCTTCCAGTGACTGCACTGGACAAGAGACAGCAAGAGAGACCATCTAAACCAGGGACAGGGCTGGGAGGGATCCCTTGTCCCTTAATAAATCACTCCACCAGCTAATTCCCCACTCAAAACAACTTTCTCATCCTTGTTCAGCCACTGCCAGAATGTCCTTTTTTAGGACATAAAACCAGGCTTCCTTAATGCTGTAGAAAAGTTATTAGTATTGTTTATTCTAAGCTCTGAAATATCTATTCAATTCTTAATTTGCTTATGTGTCTTCTAAATACATGAACATTATAGTGATAACTGGGAACTGATATAAAATCAAGACTAGAAAACATTAAGCATTGCAGTGACTGGAGTTGTTTTTCATGGCATTTATCATCTCACTGCATGTTTTGCAGAACTAAATTTCCAACACAATTCTCTTTTTAACCTACAGCATCAGGTGAAAATATTAAACATATTCCCTGGCAGACAATATCTATTCATCAGAGACAAGCCCAAAAAAAGCCCTACCCTGCTAAAGGCAGAGCCTGCGACTCACTCTGTTACACAACCCAGCACTGGGGAGGAAGGAATGGAGAATCACAGGATCCTGGAATGGTTTGGGCTGGCAGGGATCTCAAAGATCACCCAGGGACACCTCCCACTAGACCAAGTTGCTCCAAGCCCTGTCCAACCTGGCCTAGGACACTTCAGGAAGTCCATACAATTATTCCTACAATGTTCATGGCCTGGTTGTATTCCAGGCCTGTGATTTGGACTGACCTTAAAATACCCCCCCGAGATCAACAATAAATTCTTCTGGATTCTCGTTTTCAAGTGAAAAGAGGAAGCAAATGATTTAAATTGTGCCAGGAGACATTAATTACAAACTAATCTAAATGCATAATCACCTGTAGTCATTTAGCCTCAATCCCTACAGATGAAGTGTGTTCTTAGGGGCAACCAAAGGTGATTTTTGGGATGGGGTTCAGCTTCTAAGTGGTCTGTGGAACCTGACTCAAGACAGCTGAAATTATTCTCCATTGAGATCCACATGAACATTCAGATCATTCCAAATGGCAGACATCAATAGAGTTCTTTATTCAAGGTGCACTTCATGCTTTATTTACCTTATTTTAATAGGCAATAATAATGGAATAATAAATGGGAGAAGACTAGTTTTTCTGTTGTCTTTGTTCAAATTTCTCAGTGTGAGAGAGCAACACGTGGCTAATTTTTCATCTATCCTTGAACAGCCTGAACTGACAGATTGCCCATAATCTGTTCCACAATCTCAGTGCCAGCACATGACAATAGACAGCCCCACGGAGAGGCTTGGGAATCAAAAAGGAAATAATTTAACGCCAACCAACAGCTAAAGGGTGACCCAGTTCAGAGAGGCCTGGAGAGAGATCCATTGCTGGTGGCTCCAAGCATGTGTGGCTCCATGCAGGCCCAGTTAAAAGGCAGATTAATAGGCAGTCAGGTGTGAGGAACAAAGCCAAGGAGCCCCACTGAGCAGCACACGGCATTCAGCCTGCTTTGGAAAGCACTTTATGAATTAACCTAGCCTGGTCTTTTTTAAACTGTGAGCATCCAAGGATTCACACCAGCATTCCTCCAGCCTGATCTGTATTCCAAAACAGTCCTGCTCACATAAATCTCAGTGTTGTTTTTTACCAGGGAGTGAAAGGGAGAAAAGCTGCTGTTAAATCAATAGGCTGCGTTGCTCACCACAGTCTATGGAAGTGCTGGTGCTGTGCTTATCATTTGTGCTGCCACCAACTAATTGCTGTCCCTTGCACTTCATTATCCCCTGTAATATGGTTACAATAACAGAGAATGACAAATAAGAACTGTTATCTTCTCCTGGCCAGTCTTCCCTCGCAGGGTGAGTTCCCATTCAAATCCATCTATCTGGATGAATGAGATTTACCAGATTACACGTTGACTTAAAAGGTTTAAGAGGAGCGCTGACGGAGAGCTGCCTCAGGAAATATTTTCACAGGCACACTTTTGGGATCTGGCACAAAAAAAAAAAAGTCTTTACTGCTGCTTTTGTACCCACCATGGTTTCCCTCAGCTCTCCCCTGCATTTAAGGCAGTGATGCTGGAAGACAGAAACCCTGGTTCCTATGAAATCCTAAATGTGTTCCCTGAATCAGGTCTGCCAGTCATTCACACACACCAGAGAGGTGGTCTGATTCTTTTGATGTTAAATTAGATCCTGTAACTAATAAAACTGCCTACACTGATTAGGAAGGAGAATCAGGCAAAGAATATTATGGACAGGAGAAAAGACTTTGGGTCTGGCAAGAAAGGATAAAAGTATCTGATCATAAATGTGTGGCCTAGTTAAAGAAAGTCCTGTGTTGCCACAAAAAAAGAGGAACTGTAGAAAATGTGAATGAAACCTCCAATAGCCACTTAATGGCCACCTGGTCTCTGGTGGGTTCAGGAGGACAAGAGGAGCTTCTTCTGTGGCTTCTAAACTCTCTGCAAGGATCAGATTTCCCCACTGGATGTAAAGGATGTCACAGTGTCAGAAGGAAGGAGAGATGGGCAAGCCACCATGACAAAGTCTGCATTTATGCTGATGAT